CTGGCTGGTTGGTGATGATTTATTCGAACGTTAATCAGAAATACTGCATTTAATTAGTCATCGTCTCGAATAAAGAAGAGTGGCAAAAGAAGAGAGAGAAAAAAAATAAAGAAAAATAAACAAAAGAAACAGGAAGTAGGGAGAAATTGTGACCTTAAAAATAGAAAAGAAAGTGATAAATTGAAAACGGATTGAAAAATTACAATAAACAATCGAGGCAACAGAAGCAAATACATATAAGATAGAAAAAAAAGAAAAACAAACATTCTATCCAATCTTCCACTCCCTTAAAAAAACGAAAAGGAAGAAGAAGAAGAGGAGAAGGAAGAAGAAGAAACACACTCACGAAGACCATCAAAAGCAAAATCTTCATAAAGTCAACTAGATACTCTGGTGTTGACAGAGGAAGTGGCTGAGACAAAAAAAAAAGAAAAAGAAAAAAGAAAAAAAAAACTGTTTTACTTTGATCTGTGTTCTGAGACACCTTGATGCGACCCGTTTTCTATGATTCTTGGTTTGTTGTTGTAACCGATCTCAATTCTTTTCTCGATGAATATATATATATTTTGTTGTTCTTTTTTAATGGCGTTGTTGTTCGTACGTTGATTTGATTCACTGATTTACGTTATCGATATAGTTGAGGATTTTTATCTATTACTAAAAAAAAAAATCTTATTTTCCTTTCTTTTTTTTGGTGGGAAGAGTATTTGACTTCATTTATGTGTGTATATATATTCATTCATTTACCATTGTTATTATTATTATTATTATTTATTTATTTATTTATTTTTTTTTTTTTGGGGGGGGGGTAAAATTGATTTCAGAGATGGTAATTCATCCCACAACGAACGCCAAATCGACATTAATGGAAGTGGCATTACCATCGGGAAGCATTAATCTGGAAGCCAATATCGAGAGGCCATTAATCTCATCCGGGACTTGTTCCCTTAAAGACCCTACTGTTACTGACGGAAATCCACAGAGACATATTATGCCGGCTGAGTTGTCCTTTTATGTTATGCCTGGGACAAGGCTAGTCTTATTTGCTCTAATGGACGTTTGCTATTGTTTTGTGATACAGTTCGTGTGTGTCTACGTCCGGTCGCGGAAACCTTGGAGTGTGTTTTAAAAGGATTGTTTTTTTTTTTTTACGGAAATCATGAGTACGATAATACTTCGCGGAGTACGATGTTAAGGGATACCGAGGGGTTCGAGAATCTTCATGTTACGTTGTTGTCTTTCTTTTTTTTTTTTTTTTTTTTTTTGCTTCCCTTCTTTGTATACTTCTAAAAAAATAAAACAAAATAAAAAAAATCAAAGGAGTGTTTCATGATACCTTCAACAACTCTAAAAAAAAAAAAAAAAAAAATGATAAATAAAATAAGTACGTGTTTGGTTCTGCTGTCGCTTCTAGTAAATGTCCTTACCAGTTACTATCACGAGCCTACCTTATATGTATTACGTCCTGTCACAACAAAAACGGTATTTATAGTAATATATGTATTTATTCACTGGGGGATTTTTATTATGCTTTAATCGTTTTAATTATGTTTCCTGGTTACTTTGTTTTCGTCATTGAACTTATTTTCACTTACACTAGACTATATATATAGCTCTATTATTGAGATATCTAAGTGCAATTTATAAGTGAAGTTTCGATTTCAAATATATCCTTGCCCATTTTTTTTTATTAGTTAAATATTGTTTAATTATCTAAAGATGGAAATTATTATGTTTAATTAATTAGTTGGATATGCCAGAGGACTCGATAAAGAATAATTTCTGGGTATTGGAGGTATTAGTGGTTAGAAGTTACACTAATTTTGAACATAAGGTCTTTAAATGCGATCTGTAGGTATGTCAAATTCAATTTCTGGCGATATCTTATAAGTACTGAAGGTCAGGTCAGTCAGGTTATGGAATACAATTAATGTAAAACTGGTCATCAGGGTATTATTATTACCATTAGATGGATATACTGTTAATAATGATTTATGGTGTATCCAGTTATCAATAAAGGCATATGTATCTAATGCCATAATGAAAACCAATTGTCTATATCCATTTTTTTTCAAACTATTCTTAAAAAAAAAAAAAAAAAACTTCGAAAATCTTGTGAAATATCTTGCTTTTAATATTTCCTTCCCCGATTCCCTTTCGTGATGTTTTGTCATATATATATCACCCAGTCAAAGGGGGATTTTTTTTTCTTTTTAATACAGTCCCCTTTTCACTCTCGTGCTCTTTTCGAGGGAGATTCTGCTCTGTATTCACTGCTGAGTTTGAAATGCAGGCGAGAGAGGAGAGGGGAGTAACTAGATAAAATAGAAAGGGGATGAAAACAGGTAAATAAAATATGTCAAAGGTGTGTGAAAAGGTGGAGGAGGAGGGACACATAGGAACTGAAGAGGAAAAAAGACGACACACATACACACACACACACACACACACACACACACACACACATACAAACACACACACATACAAACACACACACACACACACACAGACACACACACACAACATACACACACATACAAACACACACACAGATATATATGTATTTGTATGTATATGTGTGTGTGTGTGTGTTTGTGTGTGTGTGTGTGTGTGTGTGTGTGTGTGTGTGTGTGTGTGTGTGTGTGTGTGTGTGTGTGTGTGTGTGTGTGTGTGTGTGTGTGTGTGCAATGAAAACAAACAAACAAGCAAATGGCTGGATTCATCTTTAAGAATTTGCATCTGCAGCATGATCAAGAAAGAAATACAAGAGACATGTAGCATATCATTATATTACAGCGAAGTGAGTATACACCTTGAAACTACACACACCTTTGTATCATGATGCAACATACCAATGGACTTTTAAACTATCGATATGACTGTTGAATGAAGTTGACTTTTCTTGCATCATGTTACTTCATTAAATCTTTGGACATCTTGAAAGACAAGAACACATCATGTATCGTATTATTTTTGATCGTTCGGAATACTACAGCTTATAACACTTGATACACTAAAGGCCAAATGTATTTTACAAGAGAAAAGACCAAACAAATGAGAGAATAAAACGCTACAATACCTTTGATCTATCCACAATAAATCTAATCTATATGACAGCATGTTAACAACCGTGTCATTCTTTTCTACATGTCAATTTCATATTTATCAAATATACATGAAGTTTATCAAACGGAGTCAGGGGTATGATATGATTAATAGCTTATATATAGTTATACATTGAGCATCTGTATAGTAAGAGACTTGAGTAAGATATATTGTATGAGATCACATAGCCCCCTTAGTACATGTGTACACTTATACATGTGTCTGTGTACGTGTATGTTTATTTGTGTCTATGTGCATTTATAGTATATGTGTGTCTATGTGTACTTATATCATACATGTGTATTGTGTGTGAATGTTTGTGTATATATCTGTATATATTATATATTAATTAATTATATAAGTGTATATTCTTTTTATGTACATAGATTTGTAAGTAAACTTGTATGTATAGTTTCGTTTGGAAAATATCAAATAAACATTTTAGCACCAAGAAGACATTTTTTTTTTTTAAAGTTCAGATGAAGGCATAGACATGGAAATATATAACTCGAATATGTTGTATTTGTATTTATAACTGTTTGTTTATATACACATAAAAGTGTGTTGCTAAAATGAAAAAGTTTCCCCCTTTTTGTATGCTCGGAAATAATTTAAAAGATTAATGTACTGGTGTTCTGCAATAAATTAATTAAAGATAAAAACACTACATTTATCTTCGTCACATGGCTTAATGTTTGAACTAATATATTCTCACAAAAGTGTTTAATCAACATTCGTATTCTCTCTCAGATATTTGATATAAACACAGGCGATGAAAATATAAAGACAATGATATTCTTGTATTCATTAAAAGTCTTAAATATATATATATTTTCCTTAGTACTTACACATGCAGCACAGTTTGTCCCCCCAAAAAAGGGTTCATTTTAAGAGCAACAAAGGAAAAAAGCAAATTGTTCAAATGATGGTATCACTTTACCTTATGCAAATGATTGTCAACACTCAACTGTTTATTGTTTACCGTTCCATTTCCCGTTTTACACGATTAATTCTCGTAATATTTTAGTATATTTTCTCTCTTGTTCTCTATACAGGATTAAACAAATCTCACTGCACATTTCCCCCCGTAAATTGTATACATTTCAAGTGTATAAACGTAGTGTTCCTGTACATCACTGTCTCACAGAGTCATTGTCATAACTGTTAGATTTTTTTCCATAACATTTTTTTTCATATGATGTTAGTACCACTTGGTTTCATTCTCTTAGTCACATTTCATTCCACTTATCTTATTGATTCCTCGTCTATTTTATTAAGTAGAAAGTATTTACATTTAAATATATACAGTTTTTGCAGTCGAAAGCAATGTTAGTATATATATTCACATTCTAGAATAACGTGTATTCCTGGATAAAACACTTTCACATTCCTTAGTTAACCAGATACACCGATACATCAGTAAGTCAGTAATACCAGGAATACCAGTAGTCTCACCGGTACAGGTATTAAGTCTGAACACATATCAACACACATACAAGTATTGGACTAATGGAGATACATACAAAAATCACAATGACTTCTACCAAGAGCGTCTTTCGAAAAAGCACCATCGAATCACATCTTCCTTATAAATAAATGAATTCAAAAGAATTTTTCTTAAACCATATTTCTCCCCCTAAAAAAAGAATGATAATAATAATAATAAAAAAATGTATATACACACAAGATGGATAGGTCTTTCGGAGCTTAAAAAATCTGTAGTGTTTTGGAATGACATTGTTACATGACACTGAACGCTATGTGTCGTGGCGCGATGACACTAGTGACACATGCAAAGTGAAAGAGATGAGAACAAAGAGAGTGTGAATATTAATATTTTTCCTTACTTTCTCTTTGTTTATCATTCAGGTAATCTAGACAGCCAAAGCGTTCGATCTACTCAGTGTAGTGTGTTAGTACCCCACTCAGTAAATAATGGTTTTTGTTATTGCACTGATTCATTTTCTTTATAAAATCAATGTTACTGATCAACATGCCTAGATGTCCTCGAGTACATCTCATTCATAACAGAAACCTTTCAAAGTTATCACTAAGCTTCTTCTGTAAATTTCTAGAGCAATTTCATACATTCTCAAAAAAAGAAAAATCTATTCGACATCTTAAAAACCTTCAAGGTCTCAATCTACCTTTGTTTTTTTTTTGTATTTTCCTTTTCTGAATCAAATCACTTGCAAATGCCGTTCCCTTCCTGTACACTCTTTCACTTTAAACACTCGTTGTACACGTCTCATGGAGTGGTAGTCTTAGAGTGGTAGATGGGAGTGGGACTCGAGAGAAACCACGGCAAAGGTGGTCTACACTCTCCCTCTCCCTCTCCACATTCGCTTACGTCATGTCCCCACTCCTCTTGGCGCGGTGGATGTAAGTGCAGATGCGAGTGGGACTTGAGAGGTAATCAGACGTAGACATCTTACCAAGGGTGATCTTCGCACTCACACTTAGTCTCCGCACTCGTTTACAGACTCGTGTCCTCTCTCATCCCGGAAGCGGCGGATCTCGGAGTGCAGATGCGAGTGGGACTTGACTTGCGACTTGAGTACGACATGACTTGCGACTTGAGTTCGACTTGATTCGCGACTTACGAGAATAACGCACGCATGGAGTATTCTACCAAGGGCTACCTACACACTCTCCCTCTCCCTCTTCCTTATCTTACATCCTTGTATCCCCACTCATCTTGGAGCGATAGATCTCGGGGTGCAGATGCGAGTGGGACTTGAGTGGGACGCAGACGTGGACCTCTTGGTACGGATGAGCTATGTTGTGCCCCGTGATGTCACCCGGAGAGCTGCCGTTGCTGCTTCGCCCGTGGGAGGCTGAGCTGGTGCGGATCATGGTGCTCTGGGTCGACCTGCTGAGGAGAGAGAAGTCAGGCATCGGAGGAGGGAAGGAGGGAGGGAGGGAATTAGGGAGGGAGGGAGGGAGGGAAGGAGGGAGGGAGGGAGGAAGGAAGGAGGGAGGGAGGGAAGGAGGGAGGGAAGGAGGGAAGGAGGGAGAGGGATAAGAGGGAAGGAGAGAAGGAGGGAAGGAGGGAAGGAAGGAAGTTAGGAGGGATGGAGGGAGGGAGGGGGGGAATGAGGGAAGGAAGGAAGGTAGGAGGGAGGGAGGGAGGGAAGGAGGGAGGGAGGGAAGGACGGAAGGAGGGAAGGAAGGAGGGAGAGGAATAGGAGGGAAGGAGGGAGGGAGAGGAAGGAGGGAGAGAGGGAAGGAGGGAGGCAAGGAGAGAGGGAGAGGGAGAGAGAGGGATAGGAGGGAAGGAGGGAAGGAAGGAAGGAGGGCGAGGGAGAGGAAAGGGGGGAGTAAGGGAGAAAGAGTTAAGGAGGGAAGGAAGGAGAAAAAATGAAGGAGGGAGGGAGGGAAAGATAGATAGATAGATAGATAGATAGATAGAGAGAGAGAGAGAGAGAGAGAGAGAGAGAGAGAGAGAGAGAGAGAGAGAGAGAGAGAGAGAGAGAGAGAGAGAGAGAGAGAGAGAGAGAGAGAGAGAGGGCATAGAGAAAAAAATAGTTTAGGAAAGATTTCGGTTTGTTGAAATATCATTATCTTTAATTGGGAAATTCCACAGCGCACACAGATACACACACATACGCACACAAGCACAGACAAAAAAAAAAAAAAAAAAAAGAAGTATGACATTTCCCTCCCCATCCCCTCCCATCCCCCCTTATCTATCAGTCCTTGTGTCTCCCTTTCGTCCCCTTTCTCCTCTCTTCCTTTTCCTCCTTCCTCTTCTTTCTCCCCCCCCCCATTAATACACGTTAAACTTCGTGGTGTTTATACGTTCTCCCTCTTCCCTCTTTCATCTGTCTTTCCCATCTCCTCCTATATCTTCCTTTCCCCCTTCCTCATATTAAGGTTTATTCCTCCTTCCTTCTTCCTTCTTCCTCCTTTCCTCACCTTCCTTCCTTTCTCCCTATCCCTCTTCCCCTCTCCCTGATTCCTCTCCTCTCCTCCTCTCTCGCTTTCCTTTTTCTTCCTTCTCTCTACCTCTTTCCTTCTGTCCCCATCTCCTCCTCCCCCTAGTTCCTTCTTCTCCCTTCCTCCTCTTTCCACCTTCCCTCTCTCCCTCCTTCCCACTTTCCCCTCTTCCCCTCTTCCACTCTTCCCTCCTCCTTTCCTCCTTTTTTTCCTCACCCCCCTCCCCTTTCATCCCCCCCTCCCTCTTTAATCTCTAGCTTCCCGGCTCTTCCTCTCCCCCCACCTTCCCCCTACTTCCCCATCTCCTCACTTACCCTCCATTCTCCTCCTCTCCTCTCTCCCCATCCTCGTCTCCTCACCTCCCCTACCCCCTACCCCTCATTTACACCCTCTCCCCACACCTCCTCTCCCCTATCCCTACCTCCCCCACCACCCTCCCCCTCATCCCCCACCCCTTCCCCATCCCTTCCCTCATTCCCCCTCTCCCCATCTCCTTCCCTCCCCACCCCTTCACGCCTCCCCCCATCTCCCTCCTTCCCCCATCTCCCTCCTCCCCCATCTCCCTCCTCCCTCCCCTCTTCCTCCTCCTCCCCCACCCCTCCCCCCCCATCTTCCCCCCTCCTCCCCCACCTCCCCCTCCGCCAACACACCTGACGGAGGACCTCGTGGAGCCGTTGAGTATGGTGGCGTCCGTGCGGGAGAACCGGTGGTCAGACGATACCTGACGATCAGCTGGGTTCCTGCAGGAGGGAGGGAGGGCGGGAGGGCGGGAGGGAAGGAGGGCGGGAGGGAAGGAGGGGTGAGGGAGGGAGGGAGGGAAGGAGGGAGGGAAGGAGGGGTGAGGGCGGGAGGGAGGGAGGGCGGGAGGGAAGGAGGGGTGAGGTGGGGTGAGGGATGGAGGGAGGGAAGGAGGGAGGGAGGGGTGAGGTGGGGTGAGGGAGGGAAGGAGGGTTGAGGTGGGTTGAAAAAGGGAAGGTGGTGGAGGGAGGGAAAGGTAGAAAGGGAAAGGGGGAAAGGAGGATAGGGGGAGGGAGGAGGGAGGGAGGTGGAGGGGGGAGGGAAGGGAGGAATGAGGGAGGAAAGGAGGTAGAGGGAGAGAAGGAGGGAGGGAAGAAGGGAGGGAAAAGGGAAGAGTGAGGTGGGTGGCGAAAGGGAAGGGAGGGAAGGGAGGGAAGGGAAGAGTGCGGTGGGTGGCGAAAGGGAAAGAGGAAGGAGGGAGGGGAAGAAGGGAAGGAGGAGAGAGGGAGGGAAGGAGGGAAGCAGGGGGAGGGAGGGAGGGAGGGAGGGAAGCAGGGGGAGGGAGGGAAGGAAGGAGGGAAGCAGGGGGAGGGAGGGAGGGAGGGAGGGAAGGAGTACGTCAGTGGATTTCACTTTTTTTTTTTTTTAATTACTTTATTTTTGTTTTGATTTCTTGTTCTTCATTATCATTATTA